AGTGTCTGAAGGCAAATGAATTCAGTTCCTCTGCCAGCAGACACTACATTTTCAAGTAACACATGCAGATTTATGATTGAATTAGTTTCAAAAGGAAGTGCCCAGAGGAGAGTTTTTGAGTGGAAACCCTGGTACAGTACTACGGTGCGATTGATTTCACTCCATTTATGCTATTTCCCACTGGCAGTTAGTCTCGCACAAGATAGGAGGCAGTTTCTAATCTTCGACGCTGTACCCGCTAATAAAAAGAACGATCAGTGAATTGAGACAGCGGGGCAAACGTGGTTAACAGGCAGATTTGTAATGATAATGGGGCAAAAATATGTTCAGCATCAGGGATGAATCATCCAGAGGCAAATCTATACTTACGGTTAGGCTGTTGCAATACAGCAAATGAACCAAGACAAAATCGTGAAAAAAAAAAAGAGCTAAACAATCACATGTCATGAGGTATTGAAATGCGCATTGAAAGGCTGTGTTTACACTACAGGTCGAAGTGCCATATTCTGATTTAATGCCCGTATCCCTGTTCAGAGCTATCGAAAACAACTTTACCCCCAATCAAGTACACAAACCGCGACAATACAAAAAAAAGCTTTTTTTTTTTTTTTTTTTTTTTTAATCATTTTTAAAAATTACGATGGTACACGCTGTAAGCTAGACTGACTGACGCACATTGAAATGGATTTGGGAATTTAATTTATTTTTTTCAACATCCCCCCTCCCCCAATCCTCTCCCCTCCCTCCGCAAATTCTTCAGAAAACACTGATAAACAATCGATCTATATTTTCCACAAAAGTGAGGGGGAAATGAAAAAAAACCCAAAACCAAACTGAAATTAAAATGTAATTGCGAATCCTCGGGTGCTGAACCACAAGTACGCTGAGGTCGACAGTATATCCGATCTGTCTGTTTGTATTGCAGGTGCACGGGCATCCAATTCCATATTTGAATTAGATAAAAAAATAAAATTAAAAAAAAGAAGCTGAATCGTGTCATTTGAACTATGTATAGTCATGTAAATCCAGCCAAAGTGTATTTGTGCAAGAGAGTCATTTTTTTTTTTTTCAGTTGAGGGTCACTACATGCCCTCTACAAATGAGTGGTTTTCAAACGACAAGAAATATTTACTTAGCAGTCGAGGAAACTGGAGGCTCCATGTGTTTTGGCTTAAAGGCACAATTTCCATGTTGTGAGATATAATTGCTAAGCGTGGCGCACTTTGAGCAGCGGGGTGAGGCGAACACTTCAAACCGCAAACGGTGAATAAGAAGTAGCTCACAAACGTCAACATGTGTTTCTCATCTTGAATCCTGGACCTGAAAACAATTTCCAAATGTCCTCCACGGCCAACAATTCTTCCTGCACCGACTCGCGGGGAAAATTGAAGCTCGACGCTGTAACGATAAAGCTGAGTTTACGATTTGTTTAATGGGTATTTTGATGTGAAATATACTTTTTATACACCGCTGCTCTCCAACAAGGTACTCACGGAAAATGAAGTAGACACATTTTAATGCAATATGCAAGTTGAAAATGACAAATGAAAATGGAAGGAAAACATTTCTCCATCCACCTGTGATGTGGCTGGAGCTTATTATCGCCTCTATTTTATCAGCAGGATTCCACTTCAGGGAGAATTGTCATTAATAAAGAGTGGCACGGGCAGAAAAGCAGAGTCATATTAGATTTCAAGTAAACAAAATGTATCAGTTATTTTATGTGGACTAAAAACTACAACTACACCAACCCCCCCCCCCCCCCCCACCCCCCGCCACCTCCCAAA